CGATTCTCTCCGGCCAATCCGTGATCAGCAGAGTTTACACGTCACGTTTGGGTAACGGTACGGTTCACTTGGAACCCCAACCAAGGTGGTACTAAAAAAAGTACCAGGTACTGTACCCAGTGGAAAACCCCCCAAAAGTGAGCCGTACCGTGCCGTACCATGCAGTGGAAAAGCGCCATAAGTGTAACCTAAGTGACTCTTGGTGTTAGCTGGTCTGTGTTTCAGAGGAAAAGTGCTTGTGTAAGAGAGACTGGGTAAACGTGAGAATACGAAACTGACGGCAGGAGTTTTCTCTCTGAGCCCTGAGTCCCCGTGACCCGGACCGAGTGACACATCCTGGCGAAAACAGTAGTGACAATATGCCGTGATGACTTATGCCTCTGACCTGACCTTTCCCACTGGACTTTCACTCAGCAACCGGGTTCCCTCCTCCCTCTTCCTCTGTGCTGCGTAGCACTTATGCATTTGACATCACAGTTGAAACGAGGGAAGCTAAATATCAGTGTTGCATCCTCCTGGCAACACCGTTGCTGCTCTTTCATGAAAGCAAAGTGGAGTACGTGCACAATGATTTACAGTTCCTATTCATTTCTCCCTCCTGCCTCGCCGCTCAGACTATGCAACCTATATCTCTCCTCCATCCAGGTGCCCAGCTGTTCTCTTTATTGTAAAGATTTGGTGAAACCCTACTTCCTCCCTCCTCCCTGCAGCTGTCTGTCAGCACTGACGTCTGGCCTTTTACGCTTTCATTTATTTGCCTTTTCCTCCCTATGCCTCGGGTCGTTTCAGGTTTTTATGTGGTCTTCAAACACTTTGGTTTTATGTGCACAAGGCTTTTTGAAGCAGCAGTCAGGCTTACCTTAAGAGCAAAGACTCTAAGCAGGGTAGAATAGGCCACTCTGCAGGAAGTCTGTGCTGGATAAGAACAGAGTTGTGTTAGTTGTGCCAAAAAGCCCCTTGCATAAATGGCTCTAAATCGACCAGAAAGCACTGATGTGTTTTTGATTCACTTTCCTTTTGATCTTGTACACTCTTTCTTGTTAACATAGCACTTGCCGCAGAGGAAAACTAACCAGTAAGGCGTAGCGAAAGCTTCTCTTGCATAAAGCTGACAAAACGTTTGCTTTTATTGATTCGTAAATGCAATAAGCGCTGTTCCAATCGATATCGATGTTATTTGTTCTCAGATTTTTCTTTATTCATACATTCATATCTCTACAGTTCAGTTTGTAAAGAAATAAAGAAGGGGAAAACTCTGAAACTGACATTTCCCAGTCAGCGTTAATTGTACGAATCACAGTTCTGGACAAAAATGAATCATGCTAGAGAGATGCCGAAACTGAATATGAAGGTTCAGTCTTTCTCACCGAAACTCTGGGCCTTTCTTCACAGTTTTATTCT